TCATTTTCCTTCACCAAACATACCCTAGATTTTCCTGGAAAATGAGGTATAATTATAACTTTATTTTTTTTGTGCAGGGGTTTTTTTTCTTTTTGATAATTGTAACCAATTACCAAATGCGTAAATGGAACTTTACCGATTTAGTTTAGTGTTCCATTAGTGGGCCCCACCAGCACGATGGAGTCCGAGAACCCAATCTTATCTGGGTCGGAGTTGTAACCGAAATCGAAACCCGTTTAAATGGGAAAAAGTAATTCTTTTTTTTTTTTTTTAATGTTAAAATGAAAATTAATTTAAGATTACGTGAAAGCTTGAGCAACATTCTCCTTCCACCTGTATTGGCGTTGCCTTACCCAAGACGACGCCACTTTAGAAGGAGAAATCAGACGCCACCGGACGACCAAATGCACGAAGGAGAATAATCGGAATGGGAAACAAAATTGCGCGCACGACGCAGGTATCGGCGTCGGAGTACTACCTCCACGATCTGCCGTCTTCCTACAATCTGGTGCTGAAGGAGGTGCTTGGACGGGGGCGATTCTTCAAGTCGATCCTGTGCAAGCACGATGAAGGCCTGGTCCTTGTTAAGGTCTACTTCAAACGCGGCGATTCCATCGATCTCCGCGAGTATGAGCGCCGTCTCGCCCACATCAAGGAAACCTTGCGCTCCCTAGAGAATCCTCACGTCTGGCCCTTCCAGGTTCGCAATTGTGAACCACTGCTCTTTCTTCCGTAGTTTTGCCTTTGTTCTTCGGATTCTAGATTTCGAGAGCTGCGCTGGTGCTTAAGCTAAATTGAGATTTCGATTTTGTGCGGGAGAAATCGCCTACTCAATGAATTCTCTTGCGGCCGTGTTTGGTTGCTGAGAAAACGTAACCAAGGGATAAAATCTGGGAGGGGATTTGAATTTAAAAAACTTAGTACAGCTAATTGTTCTCTCTAGCGTGTTTAGATCAAGGAGCATATTTAGAAAACTTGAGAATTTTGTTTTCTCGTGTCTGGTGTCTGATTATTGGGGAAACTGAGAGAGAGGTGCATTTTTTTGTTGTTTGCTTTAGACTGTTGATATTGTTTGATTTATTGCAGTTCTGGCAAGAAACAGATAAAGCAGCTTATTTATTGAGGCAATACTTCTTTAATAATCTGCATGATCGGTTGAGCACTCGGCCTTTCCTCAACCTAGTGGAGAAAAAATGGCTGGCATTTCAGGTCACTCTTCTCTCTGTTTGCAGCTTAAGTTTTGAATGACACGGTCACTCCTAACATGTTGTATTTTGTTGGTCTGCAGTTACTTCTTGCAGTAAAGCAATGCCACGACAAGGGGATTTGTCATGGTTAGTTGGGTTTGTTCAGCAAATATTTTGTGAGGCAGTGACACTTGAAGAGAAATTTTTTTTCTTTTTCATGTTATTAGTATATGTTGGTTTTATTTATGATGGCTTGTATCTTTATAGGTGATATTAAGTGTGAGAATGTGCTGGTCACTTCATGGAACTGGCTTTATCTTGCTGATTTTGCATCATTCAAACCCACCTATATTCCTTATGATGACCCTTCAGATTTCTCCTTTTTCTTTGACACTGGAGGGAGGAGGCTTTGTTATCTTGCCCCTGAGGTTTGTTTTTGCTTCTTTATTTATTTATTTATTTTTTTTTTTTTGTAGGAACCATTTGAATTGGGCTTCTAAGGAAATAGCAACTCAACAAAAAAGAGTAGTTTGGTTATATCTTGGATATTAAAGGACTTATAGAAATTGTAACATCTCTGAGTGCTTTGATATAAATGGTTCTTGAGCTTGATTCAGTGTTTCTTTTTGATGGATGTAGATGCATGAGCTTGGTTTGAAAATTGTACAAAGTTATCTTTAACGTACTTGGATGCTTGTTCGATAAAAGTTTGCAAAGTTGTTTCATTTTGGTATTGTTTATGGGAAGCAAAGCATTCTTGCAACTCTTCTTTCCTTCAGGATATCTGGTGTGGCTCTTGTTTATAATAGCTAGGTTGTTTCTTGGTTGGATTCTGCGTGGTCTGAAAAATTTGATTCTGTTGGGAGATACAACTCCTAGAGGAAAGCCTCTAACTTGAACTTGGATGATAATCATTATGCATGTCTTATGTGTCAAACTCAATTTTCTAAGCATTTTAGATCACAGTTTAGTTCTATCTCCAAGGATTTCCTTGCGTTAGGCTCCTAGTTATATAATCTACTGGTATGATTTGTTTGATCTCCTATATAGTGTTTATTGCATGGAGTTTAATAAATTCTTGTTGGCAAAGAACTTAGTTTATTTAATGCAGATGGTTTTATTTTCTAAACAGAATGTGCAAATAAAATCTCCATCTAAATAACCCAATTACATATTCTAATGTGTTAATAGTATTTTACTTTGTACCTTGCAGAGATTTTATGAGCATGGAGGTGAAATGCAAGTTGCACAGGATGCACCTTTAAAGCCATCTATGGACATCTTTGCTGTAGGGTGAGCATTCTAAATAATTTAGTGTCTTTCTCTTGGAGCTAGATTGCCTTTTGATATGTTGGTTTCAAGAGACATAATATCATTTAAAATTGGCATATATATATATATATATTTGATGTTGAAAATTCATTGCCAGGCAATGTTTAGTGAAACATTTATATTTGACAGTGAACTTTGTTTAGAATGAATATTTTGCAAAAGAAAATCAAATCCAAGTATGGTTAGCAATTGCTTTTATTCAGTGTTATGGATAATATAACTTTATCTTGTTTATTCTGCAAAGAAAAGAAAAAAAAAACTTAATATGCTCATCAAATTATGATTTACTAAAACATAGCATGTTACATGAAACTCTCTTTTCTGTAGCTGGGTGACGGAGGTGTTTTCTCTGTCCCTTATTCATATTCATAATTCTTTCTGTTGATTTCTATTTTATATCAGGTCAAAAAGAATTCTCTATTTAATACTGTCTTTATGTATTTTGGGAAGAATAGAATACTGTTGATCAATTTTTGGTGTCCATTTTGGGAAAATGACAATATTGTTATCATGTGGAAAGCATGGAGAAGATATTGATAATGAAATTAGTGTTAGGAATGTGATTTGATGTACCAGAGTGCATCTTGATGCTGGCAAAGTAGGCATGCCATCCTTATGTAATATAAGCTTGCTCCAGTGCTTGTTATGAAGTTTGTTTGTGTTTACAGATCTTTTTAATTTATGGATTTTTATATTAAGATATTAATTACCTTGGTCAAATTGTTTTACAGAATGTTCAATGTTCCTGTTGTTTGGTGTTTTTTCATTCTTGCTTAACAGTGTTCCATGTTTTTATTGTCTCATGATGCAATTGTCTGAAATTACTCTCTCTTTAGGTGTGTAATTGCAGAGCTATTTCTTGAAGGTCAGCCGCTGTTTGAACTCTCTCAGCTTCTTGCATATCGTAGAGGGCAATATGATCCTAGCCAACATCTTGAAAAGGCACTTTCTCTTCCCTAATGCTTCAATTTGATGTGCTCTAATCTCTTATTTTCATGCTTTCTAGTCCACTGCCCCTCCTCCTCCCCCTCCCCTTTTTATTTCTACTTATCAAAAGAAAGCAGAGCCATGCCATACATATAATCTTAGCAACATGCTGAGTTGTCTTCCTAGGACTATTGCTTTTCTTTTCTTTCCTTGATTCTTTTTTTCTTAATTTTTAAAATCCCCTTGATAATGTCTTTTGCTTGATCCTTACTACTGCTGTACGTGCTAGCATATCTGGATAATCATTTACTATCAGCTCATATTTTCAGTAGTTCCTGTCGAAGTTATTTGGTAGCTTCTTCTTTTTTTTTTTCCCTCTTTTTTTTCTTTTTTTTTTTCCTTGACATTGAACTTTTGTGCCTTTGTCAAATAATTTTTTCCTGTGGGTACAGATCCCAGATTCTGGAATCCGGAAGATGATTCTTCATATGATCCAGCTGGAGCCTGAGTCACGCCTTTCTGCTGAAAGCTATCTGCAGAGCTATGCAGCTACTGCATTTCCTAGCTATTTCTCTCCATTCCTACACGATTTCTATTGTTACTGGAATCCTCTTCATTCAGATATGAGGGTAAACGCCTTACCAATATAAGCCTTAGTGACTTGATCTTTCAGTTTGAATATAACATCCTGCTCTGTAATTTCTACTGTAGATTGCCATGTGCCAGAGTGTCTTCCCTGAGGTACTCAAACAGATGATGATGAATAGCTCAAGTGATGAAACAGCTAGTGGTCTGGCCATCCCAAATGCCACAACTGGTAAACAACCTCAAGAGATTGTTTCAAAAGAAAACTTAAGCCTGACAAAGGACTTGTTGACAAAGAGAGAAAATATAGAGAAAGCTTCAGTTTGTGATCGGTTCAAACTTCTTGGTGATATCAATAACCTGCTTGGGGATGTAAAAGAAAGCAACCACCATCCTGGCGAGAAGTTAATGGTGGAGGATACAATCAATTCTTCAATTTCCCAAGATCTTAAACAGCATGGCTCTCTGTCTCCTGCTGGTCTCCTCGAAAGTATCTCTGATTCATTAAGGAAAAATGATCACCCCTTTCTGAAAAAGATCACAATGGATGATTTAAGCTCACTGATGTCTGAGTATGACAGTCAATCAGACACCTTTGGCATGCCATTCTTGCCATTACCTGAAGACCACATGAAATGTGAAGGAATGGTTTTGATTGCCTCTCTGCTTTGTTCCTGCATACGTAATGTCAAGCTGCCTCATTTAAGGAGGGGAGCTGTACTTTTATTGAAGACTTCTTCTTTATACATTGATGATGAAGATCGCTTACAGCGAGTGCTTCCATATGTTATAGCGATGCTTTCTGATCCAGCTGCAATTGTACGCTGTGCTGCCCTAGAGACTTTGTGTGATATTCTGCCTTTAGTCCGAGATTTTCCTCCAAGTGATGCAAAAATTTTTCCTGAGTATATTCTTCCAATGCTTTCCATGCTTCCTGATGATCCAGAGGAAAGTGTGAGAATCTGTTATGCCAGCAATATGGCTAAGCTAGCACTGACAGCTTATGGATTCTTGATTCACTCAATTAAGCTAACTGAGGCAGGTGTCCTTGATGAATTAGGCTCATCACCAAAGTCATTGGTGTCATCTGGTGAGACGTCTGGACTCCTTCAAAGGTTAAATGGTGATGCACAACTTGCACAACTTAGGAAGTCCATAGCTGAGGTGGTTCAGGAGCTTGTAATGGGTCCAAAACAAACTCCAAATATTAGAAGAGCACTGCTACGGGACATTGGAAACTTATGTTGCTTCTTTGGCCAGAGACAGAGCAACGATTTCCTTTTGCCCATATTACCTGCCTTTTTAAATGATCGAGATGAGCAGCTGAGGGCAGTATTCTATGGGCAAATAGTGTATGTCTGCTTCTTTGTGGGCCAAAGGAGCGTGGAGGAATATCTCTTACCTTACATTGAGCAGGCTTTAAGTGATTCTATGGAGGCTGTTATTGTCAATGCATTGGATTGTTTGGCTATTCTGTGCAAAAGTGGTTTCTTGCGAAAGAGGATACTGCTTGAAATGATTGCGCGTGCTTTTCCACTGTTAGCTTATCCTAGCCAATGGGTAAGAAGGTCAGTTGTCATTTTCATTGCAGCTAGCAGTGAGAGCCTAGGTGCAGTTGATTCCTATGTTTTCCTTGCCCCCATTATACGGCCTTTCCTACGTAGACAACCAGCATCTCTAGCCTCAGAGAAGGCCCTTCTTTCATGTTTAAAACCACCAGTTGCCAGAAAGGTATTTTATGAAATTTTGGAAAATGCCAGGAGTTCTGGTATGCTAGATAGACAGAGAAAGATATGGTACAATTCATCAGTGCAAGATAAACAATGTGGTATTGCAGATGCACTTAAGAGTGGTACTGGAGATTTAGACCCTATGAAATACTGGCCTGACCAGCAAATGAATCCTGAGGGTCAAAGACCCACTGGTAATGCAACACACCAGTCATTTCTATCTGAAGATGATAATGACGAGGCTAAGTTGAGAGCTGTTGGAAGTCTTATGCAGAATGGTTCTCGCACAGTTGACATGCGTGATCCCCTATACTCTGAAAATTTACAGTTCTCAGGACTGATGTCTCCACAGGTGAATGGCATGAATAGTTTCATATGCGACAAATCATCAGAAGGCATACCTTTGTACTCTTTTAGCATGGATAAGCGGGCAGTGGGAGTGCCTTCTGCGGCTTCTGATACTCCTTTGCAAGTGAACTCACTGGGAATTGGTTCATCTTCAATGCCTTGGATGGATCCATTAAATAAATCTTTTAACTTGGCTAGTTCAGTTCCATCACCTAAGCTTGTTTCAGGCTCATTCAGTATCACTGGTGGTTCTAAACAGTTCTATAGAGTGGTGCATGAACCAGAAAGTCGGGAAAATGATCAGACAGCCTATGTTAGTAGTAAATTTCAAGATATGGGATTAAGTGGCACAATGAAAGGAAGTTCTATTTCTTTGGAAGATGCTTCTGCTTCAGCTGATCTTACAGGATTGCCACCTTTTTCACGAGTGTCATCAATGCCTGATTCAGGTTGGAGGCCTCGTGGAGTGTTGGTTGCACACTTGCAAGAGCACCGCTCTGCTGTAAATGATATTGCAATTTCAAATGATCATAGCTTTTTTGTGAGTGCATCTGATGATTCCACTGTTAAGGTGTGGGATGCAAGAAAGTTAGAAAAGGATATATCATTTAGGTCAAGGCTGACTTACCACGTGGAGGGAAGCCGAGCACTCTGCACTTTGATGCTCCGTAATTCTGGTCAAGTTGTTGTTGGAGCATGTGATGGAACAATACATATGTTCTCTGTAGATCATATTTCTAAAGGTCTGGGAAATGTTGTTGAAAAGTATTCTGGTATTGCTGATATAAAAAAGAAGGATATTAAGGAAGGTGCTGTACTTAACCTTCTGAATTACACTTCTGATAATTCTGCTAGTCAGATGTTTATTTACAGCACTCAGAATTGTGGCATTCATCTCTGGGATATGCGATCAAATTCAAGTGCATGGACACTGAAAGCAATCCCTGAGGAAGGCTATGTCTCTTCGTTGGTAACAGGCCCTTGTGGGAATTGGCTTGTCTCAGGGTCTTCTAGGGGTGTGCTTACTCTTTGGGATCTGAGATTCCTTGTACCAGTGAACTCATGGCAGTATTCTGTTGCATGCCCTATAGAGAAGATGTGTCTATTTCTTCCTCCTTCAAATGTTGCTGTTTCTAGCACCGCAAGGCCTCTTATTTATGTTGCTGCTGGCTGCAATGAAGTTTCACTCTGGAATGCAGAGAATGGAAGCTGCCACCAGGTAGATGGCGGCTGCCTTTTTCTTGTTTAATCATGTTTTTGGTAAATGCATGTGACGTGGCAATGTTAATTAGGAAATGACATTCAATGATAAAAAAATCAGTTAAAGGTTAAATTTCCAAAGGATATTGAGCAAGAGGCAGGTTCTGCAAGGTACAGACTCTTAAAGGTGGGTCTCCTTAGGTCCCACATCAGGAATAATCAAATCTTGCATTTGCATCTTTTTTATAACTAAATTTAAGAATATTGGAGGAATTATAATATTGTATCTATAGTTTGACTCTTACAACTCATCATCTTTCACCTAGTTAGTCCTCTTGAGTATTACTAAATTAAGGACAATAATCAGTGGGACAATTCGGAGCAAAATGCAGTTGGAAGCATAACCATGATGCGTTTCTAAATTGTCAACTCTTCTGATTAAACTCTAAAGGGAGTTTCTTGTATAGCATCTGTATGATGGAAGAAATATAACTGCTTGGATTCTGAGAAAAGTAGAAGTACCCCATCTGTGCAGTGAGGATGTTTACTGGTTTCTTCTGTCTGTTTTATTTTGATTGAGTCTTTTTCCCCACTTATTTTCATGATTCATCTTTTATCTCTAGGTATTGAGGATAGCAAATTATGATGATGGTGAAATGTCTGATTTGCCATGGGCCTTGGCGAGGCCATCCAATAGGACGAACTCTAAGTCAGATTTTAGGCAGAATGCCATCCCCAAGTACAAAGTTGACGAGCTGAACGAACCCCCTTCCCGTCTTCCAGGTATTCGTTCATTACTTCCTTTACCTGGTGGCGATTTGTTAACAGGGGGCACTGACCTAAGGATTCGCCGATGGGACCATTGCAGGTTTTTAGCTTGTAAACTTTTTCATTTGTTTGGAGTTTTGTCATTGTAATAAAGTCTTTTGCTTACTAAATTGATTTCTGATACTGCAGTCCTCATCGAAGTTACTGTATCTGTGGCCCAAATGTGAAGGGAGTAGGAAATGATGATTTCTATGAAACAAGATCTAACTTAGGTGTGCCAGTTTTGCAGGTATGTTAATTGCTGGTAATATCTGATTGTGTTGTATGTCCAAAAGTTAGGATATTGGAATACATGAGGAAATTATCATGCATAGCCTGGGTGAGTATAAAATATTATCTATGGCCTCTGCTGAAATGGAAGGTCATCTAATTTGGTTTATTTGACTGTGATGATAATATTACCAAGTTATCCATCCTATTTTCCATTGCCGTGTTCCTAGATGTTCATATTCTGCACAATTATGTCATTAGATCATTTTAAGAGGTGATGAGTTTCAGACATAACTCGATTAATTTTTAATGGTTTTTAGTATGTAGTTGGTTCTCTAATTGAATTCATGTCATTTTCTAATAATGCTTCTTTCTATTATCTTTGGTGCTTCCATAAATCCCTCAAATTCCTTTCCTCTTTTCAGGAATATTAGCCAAATGAAACATGCAAGTGAATGTTGCTTTTTTTTTTTCCCCTTTATTTTCACAACAAGGGGTCAATTTATAATTTGAAGTAGCTCTTGCTGTTAAAGTTTGTAACACCAGAAATACCTCATTTTCCTTGCAAGCAGGAGACAAAGAGACGACCATTGACAACCAAGTTGACAGCAAAAGCAGTTCTTGCTGCTGCTGCTACTGATTCTGCTGGCTGTCATCATGATTCTATCCTTTCTTTGGCTTCTGTCAAGTTGAACCAGAGACTGTTGATTTCAAGCAGTAGAGATGGAGCTATTAAGGTTTGGAAGTAAATGACTTAAAGCATATGAGTGCTTTCTTGTACATATTTAGTGCAATTGTAGATGAAATTGTACATATTACGTTCAGACTTAAGCTACTTAGATTCTATATTGCAACAGCTAGCACATAATTTTTCTCTGAATTATACCCCTACTCCTTCTATACAGTACCTGAGCGCGCATAGGCTTTTTTTATGATAGGGATTTGGGAATAGAACCAGATAGATAGGAGGAATTTCTATTATTAAACAAGATGTCTTACCTATCAATGCGAATGACTTGATATTTCTATTAGAAATGATGCACTACCTTGTTGGTTATTCTTGATTCAGAAAAGGAGGCATTTATATTCCTTGTATATCCTGTTTCTACATTCAAATATGCATGGGTTACTCTCAAAATTCAATCTTTAATGATTTAGCTAACTGTTTAGGTACTCTTGAATCTGGGGTATATTATGAGAATATTTCACTGCTTCATTGATCTCCAATTTTATTTTAGCTTTTGGCTAGTTTGGGGGTTGCAAAATATCATAATACATTTTGGTTCTCCACTGTTGAGCTACACTGTGAAATGTTAGGCTGTTAGTCACTTGTTCTAAAGAATATTAAATATTGGAGATTTTTTTTTTTCCTGCAAAGATTATTGTATTGTAGACTTGTTTTGTAGTGTATATTGATTGTTTAAGCTATTGTGTCATTAATTTAAATGTCATTTATAGAAATCCTGTTGTGACTTTAAGCTATCCTATATTGTGCTCATGCATTTTTTCTGCTCTCTTCATGAGTGATGTAATGAGAGTTTGCATTGCTCAGTAATCTATTGGATTTTACTATTAAAAAGTTAAGACCAAACATTGATTATGGGATTTTGAGCATAATATCATTGCAAGAAGGCAAGTGGATTTTCTAATCCAGCCTCTTTTTAACCTTTACATTTAACATTCATATGTTGTAAAGGATTGGTCTTCTCATTTATATTCATGTTAGTTCTCCATTTAGGACTAGAGAGGCATGCTTGACAGCTCTAGCAACTCTCCAGATTTCATGCTGTACTAATTGCCAAGACTGAGCAGTCTTCAAATCCTCTGCCTTTTCAATAGCATCATCTATCCCTGGGAAGGATTTAGATCCATAATCATTGTGCTTTGATGGTCCATAAATCTGAAAATCAGAAGTTGTGGATAAATTAGTCCAAAATGTTTTGGTTGTTTTCATTTTGGGGTTTTATATTTAACTTGGTTTCTGTTAGTGGAATAACTAAAAGGAAAAATTAGTTATGTAATTTAAATGTGTTTTGTGAGTGTCAATGAAGGGAAGACACACCAAATGTTTGTACCAAGGGCTTCTAAAAAGTCCATCACTGTCTGTAAATGCTCGCTCTGTCATCATTAGCCTGTCATTCAGCTCTCTCACTTTTGCATGATCTGTTCTCCACATCGATGTCCAACCTTTAGCCTTGTCTATATTCTAAAATTAGATTTAAAATCACTTGTTACTAGATAAACGTTATTTTTGTCAATTGTAAATTATGAAAGCACAGTTGATACCTTCTTCTGGTTATGGATCTTAGTAGCTGCTTTTGATAGCTCATCTATAGAATTGAACAAGGGAGATAGGTTGATACCCTTATTTGAGATCTCATCTTCCAAGTCCCTTGCACTCTTCTGTTGTCATGGATACAATTCATTGCATCAACCTTTACCTGTCCAAACTTTTGAAACTTGGTTTACATTGATTAACTTACCCCGAGATCCACTGCATAGGACTGGTAATCAAAGGGCAAGAATTCATCATCTGCCAGCCGAAGTGCTACCAAACCCCATACACTAGAAACTGTTTTTTGAAAGAAAAAAGAAAATATATTCATTATAGGATATAGTATTTTATATGGTGCCTGGTGCTTAATTACTTGGACATGAAATGCTCAGTGTATTAACTGTGCTTCCAGATGACATATATAAATGCCTGGGATTGGCCAGTGACTAATCGGAGAATACTTCTGATTTCTGATTCTTTTTGTTCAAAGATTTCCAATCGTTAGAGGCTTTTATGTGAAGTTTGATTACATACCTGCAACATGTCTACGGAACAGTGGGTCTCCAAATTTTTCCATCCAAACAAATTCGTCATACATTGAATGATATACTGGGTACCCTGCATCAATAATTTCCGTTTTAGACATAAAAGTGTGAAAATCACATTACATCATATGTTTTGCACCTTTTTTGCTAATGCAGTAAAGTTTGAGGATTATGGTTGTCATTGCATGGATAATCTAGTATTATGATTCTTAGGAACATGTAGCAGAAACAAAGCATGTAAGTATAGCTCTTCTTTTGGTGTTTCTTTGTGGTTATTTGTGTTGAATCACTGATCATTATCCTCTCAATGTTACTTTTTATTATTTTTGTTATTGTCAAATAAGTTGGTATTCCTATCTATATTGCAAGGCTTGAACCAGTAGCCCAGACCTACTCAAAACTCAAGATTTTTAAGTTAATGGGTATGAGCTTAGTTAAGCTCTTGTTGGTTACTTTTCATTGAACTTGTACAATTAGAATCAGAATTTTCTTTGGATGAGATCAATTTTTGTAGTTTTGTTTGTTAGGGATTGTTGATGTTCATGATTTGTGCTTGATTAATGATTCTGAATTTAGGCATTTTCCTGCTTATTAAACCTTTCTTCTTTTATTATTATTGTTATTATCTTACTTTTACTAAGATGTTGCTTGCACGTATTTAGTGGGTTTCCAATCTAGCTCAAAAACATGTTAAAGCTCAAGCACATAATAGACATGTAATCCTCTATGTATTTGGAGATACCGTTTGATACCATTACCATGTAATAGATAGAGGTATTTGGGGGTATAATGTGCATATTGTTACCTTCACCAAAGGACATGTCAGCCGCTGGAACACCAATATGTTGCACAAAAGCTGCATAATCTGAGCCTCCACCTCCTAATCTTCCAATCTTCATGGACAATGCATGGCTTAATGAATGTGTTAACTTAAATCATACATATTGAAGAAACATTTACAATATTTCATATCTTACTTTAGGAGAATTGCTCAACCCAATCCATTGTTCGTATATAGTTTTTGATGAGTTATCAGGATCTTGAACCTTCATGAATTATCATAAATCTGATTAGGTGAGCAAGAAGGGAAAGAGGATTGAAATCCAGTAATACATTGTGGACTCCCCTATTTCACTGCACGTCAGCCAATGTGTTTTCTATCTCTAATGTGTCCGCTAAATGTTTATTGTTTGTTCCTTCTGATGCTCTTAGCTGTTCTTATTGCTGTCAGTTGCTATTGCTAGCATATTCTAGTGCTTTGGAGATATACCTGTTGAGTAGCTTGTTTTATTAGTTCATCAAGCTGTGGAGTTGCAGAGGCATAAAATCCTGCTCCATAGACTGCACTGTCAACATTCAAGTAAGCAATAGCCCTTGAGGCCAGCATTTCCTTGTTTTCTTCTACCCACTCTGTTGATCCTATCTGAAAATAATTTGTCTGTTTAGATTTCAACCTAGTAAAGAGGAAAAGGATCAAGAGAGAGAGAGAGAGAGAGAGAGAGAGAGATTGACTAACCAGGCCATACTCCTCAGCATCCCAATTGCACAAGATGATTGTTCGTCGAGGTTTCCACCCACTCTTCTGCAGTTTACCCAGTCTCTCGGCAACCTACGTTTCAGGTAAATTCAGGTTGCATTATGATGTGAATTATCATTTTTGCCACCGAAATAGATACCTCTAGTAGTGCTGCAGTACCGCTGTTGGGATCAACAGCTCCAAATGTCCATGCATCTCGATGGTTACCCAAAACGACAAACCTAGAAATAATTAGAAAAGATTGATGAAAAATCTTTATGGGCTGAAATTTCTCTTTGATTGCCTAGGAAGTATCTGATGTTAATCCAAGACTTTCGCCATTCTAACGAATTGCTATGAATTCAGTTCTATTTTAATTGTTAATCATGTTGAATTTTGAGAGTTCTCATGTTTTGGTTATGGATGTTGTCTTTGAATTGGGTGGATATATATGCTAATCTTGTGTGATTTCAGTGCGCACTCTAGTGCTAGGAAACACTGCATTCTTGTTTCTAGATTCATCTTAGTTTTGACTTGCCTATCTGGCTCCTCTGATCCTTCAATCACACCAATGACATTCTGAATAGTTTCTATCACTTGCCTCCCCTGAAATGCCATGAATTCAAACCTTTTTTATCATTTAAGTTGGAAATAATTTTGTCTGAAACATTATTTGATACTAACCGTATAACTAAGATTCACAATCCCGGGTCCTGGTCCAACCCTGTAAGTAGGAGCATCCTCACTTCCCTGCCAATCTTCTCTAGCCACTTCCCCACCAATAGACCTTAAAATTGTTTCCCCATCTTCTGCTGATATCGGCAAAGAAGGGATCAGTGGCACATCCCCTCCCTTCTCTACCTCTTCCAACGATAGCCTTTCACATCCATCCGAGCTCGCCCATCCTGGTGTTGTAGGGTCTCCATAACCATTATAGACCGTCCCTACTTGAACCCCACTTGGTGGCATCCACTCGTCATCTGGAAACCACCTGGCACCCCCACCCCCACCGCCATAATCCTTCCTATCAGTGTACACCAGAGCTCCTATTGCACCAGCCTGGAACGCATTCTGAACAATATCCCCTCTGTAAATTTGCCCATAGCGTGCCAATACCAGAGTCCCCGTAACGTTCACTCCCACTTCTTTTAGTGATGCATAGTCCTCCACGCGGCCGTAGTTCACATACACCACTGGTCCAGTAACCGTTCCTGACTTTGCATAGGCATGAAACGTAGGAAGAACTTCATCAGCCACATCTACATATGGATCACCATCGTAGATTTCTTGACGGAGATCAAAGTTTATTGGTGGGTCCGGGGATCTTGTTAATGTCAGTGAACGTGAAGCTGGGTAAGTTAGCAATACATCGTAGGAATTAATGTGCGATTGGATGTTGCAAGAGGTGAATATTGATAGAACATAAGCGGCAGCCTCTGCGTTGGCCTGAGAGCCGGCAACATGGGGAAGGCGGGTGAGGGTATAGAGGTGGTGGGACACCGAAGCATTGTCAGAGAGGGAATCTGATATGTAGAGGGAATGATAGTATGATTTTGGTGGTGGAGACAAGAGAAGAAAGGAGAAAGAGGTGGCTATGACTAGTAAAGTGGCCGTGGTTGTTTTGAACATTTTATTTTTTTCAGGTTGAGTATGAGTAATCTCAATTCTTTTTTCTTGTCATCTGTGGTGTTTTTTTTGCCTTTTTGGTTGGTTCTGGCACTGGAATGTTGAGAAAGGAAGAAAATTAGGGAACTTTAGAGAAAGAGAGAGAATGGGTTCAAAAAGATTTGAAATTTTGAGTAATTAGTAAGGAATCAACAAACAAATATTTATGCTCTCAATTATTGCTAAATGACATAACGTCCTCCGTCGGCTCATGCTCTTTTTTCTTTTTTCTTTTTTTTATGAATTCAGCAAATGATGTCTTTTCTATCACTTGTTTTACCTAAGTTTGATTTTGATTGCTATAAGACTGGGACCATTTCCTGCTCCAACCACTGGTTCTTTATCCACTTTGTTTTGTAATAAATTAAAAAAAAAAAAAAGAGTTTAAAATTGGGAGATTGGAGAAGCATGATGTGGTGGTGGATTTGCTTATTAAATGTTATGCATCATTTTCCTTTAATAGATTGTAATATTTGAACCTGGCCCTTTGGCCCAAGTGGCTTTAGTCACGTTTGTAAGGTTCATATTTCTTTCCCATAACAACGGTTTGAGCCGACCCCATGACAAAATATTCAAAAAAAAAATAGATTGTAATATCTTGAACTTGGCCTTTCGGATTAAGTGACTTTAGCCACGATTGTAAGGTTCATGTTCCCTTCCCAAAGGCAACGATTCGAATCGGTCCCACGACAAAATATTCAAAAAAAAAATAGATTGTAATATCTTATATTTGATTAGGAATCTTAAGCCTCATTACGTGAAAAGATAAGACAAAGATATAGGGCTTGGCTGTACTGATAATCAAGATAGAACAATTCCTCTGGAATCTCCACATGGCAGGTATGCCTTGTTATCTTTTTCACTTTAGAAGTTGAGATCCTTAATTCCTTACTATCAAGAAGGAGAAGAAGAAGAAGAAGAATGGTAGCATTGATTAGTTAAGATAAATCGTCATGTTTTTAACTAAAATAATTTTTAAAAAATTGTATCTTTATTTATATAAAAATTTGAGAATAACCTTCTCTATTTTTAAATTTATTTTTTTACCTATTTTAAATTTAAATCTAAAACTTCCAACTTAGTCTTTCACTCATTGATCAAAAAAAAAAAAAAAAACCTAGTAGTTCACTCGAATAAGTATAGTTGAGATACCTCTATAGAGGGTATTTAGTGCTTTTCTTTTGGTATTTCAATTTAGCACTTTAGGAGTTAAAGGGCATGTGTTTTTTTTACATGAGATTGATTGAAGAGTGTTTAAGTATGGGTCTTGCTGTTTCCAAAACATATATTGAGTTTGTGAGTCAACAGTGACGAGGAACGTTTGATTTTGTGCTATTTGGACTGACTTAGGTCACGGGACCAGATTTATGACGTGATTCTTTCATCTGTCACTTGCAAAAGAAAAATACTACTTCTCTTCTATTTTGTGACGCAATATCTTTTCTTTTGATTCTTTTTTATTTTGCTCAGCTTTGGCTCTCTCTCTCTCTCTCTCATACACAAAATAAATATTATTTTTAAATTTTTTTATCAAATTAAAATTTTAAAAATAATTCATATATTATTTATATTATTTTTAAAAAAATAAAAAAGATAAAATTAAATTTTTATGATAAAATAATTAATTAAAATAAATAAATAATGATAAAATAAATTAAACAATATTTATCTATTTTTTAAAATAAATGGTAATTAATTTTAAAACAAATTAAAAGTCAAAAAATAATAATTACTTTGAGATGAAAAGAATATAATTAAATATATAAAAATAAATTATATGAATTTCGATAATCCTCTTCTAGGAGATTTGAACTTTAAGGAAAAGTAAAAATTATTAAGCAGAACCTAATTTTATTAAAAATTATTAAACCAATTATTTTTTAGGATTACTTAGTCAGCACTGCATGGATTTAAACACTTAATCTTTTAATTATAAATAAATAAAAAGTTTTTAGGTAGTAGGAGGGCGTAATGTAAGAAAAGCATAGAAAATGGAAAGTACTATACTTCGCTGACCAGAACACTACAAAAGGTGATGAACTGTTGAAATTGCCAAACAGAAGGCATCTTACCTGTTGCCTGTCATAATAGCGCAATCTCACATCACCATATCCCCACGCCGAACAAACCATTCATAGTTTATCCACGGGGTGCTCTCCTGTTCAGTGCTTGTTCAGCCCACTAAGTTCAAAGTTTTTTATTTTTATGTTAAGTTGAAGTAATTTAATTCATAATTCGTCCTTAGGGTCCATTTAGAAGAACCTGTTTAGACTTGATTGGAAAGACATATGTATGTTTGGTAA